CATATGATGTGCGAGAGTCAAAAAGGTAAGAAAAGAAAACTCCTCCCTTGAGAGTGAAGTCTAGAGAGATGCAGGCCAGAGAGGTGTAAGATGGCAATCCACAGGCTGCTGCCGCTAAGCCGTTGGTACCTGCTCAGAAGAGCTCAAGGGTCCTAAGGAGAACCCAAACCAAACGACAGTTCTGGGAGGAAGCGTGACGCACGGAATAGCAGGACTTTTCACACACAAAGGACAAATAAACCAGGAGTTAAGTTTGGCTACCAAACTGCAATTTGGTTTGCTAGGTCAATTCCCCCAACTATTTAAAAAGAAACGTTAGTGCTACACGTACGCAACCGGGAGATGTTGAATTCTCTTATAACGTTGCCACTGAGAAGCAAAGTTACATAAGCCCCTCGCACTGCCGGCCGCCATGGAGACATCCAGGTTTGTCTGTTTGCTTTCTTTCCATTGGCAAGAGCGGGAAGTAATTCCAATAGGGGTGGAGTCTGCAGCCAGCGCCTTGCTGAGTTCACCTGGCTTCCTTCTTCCTCTTCTTCTACCATCTGGCTAGGGCAAGGCATAAGGAATACACATATATACTTTAAATATAGTTGAGTGCATGACAGTGGGTCTGTGTGTGGGTCTGTGTGTGAGGGTGTATGTATGTGTGCGTGTACATGTATGTACACAGAGGTTTGTAAGCGAGAACTTTCTTCTGCGAGGCAGTGCTCCCCGCCTGAAGTCCAGCCCTCTGCCTCAGGGCATCTCCTTCGGACACTGGCTGCTGCCATGGCAACTCTGGCCTTTATGGTGTTTTGTTGTTTTTGTTGTTGTTGTTGACTCTTGTTTTTGTTTTGTTTTGTTTAGATATGTCTCTTCATGTGGAGAGCAAGATGGTCAGACCTGGAGAAACACCTAGAACAATAAACAATAGGCATGTCAGAGAGGCCCAGCCGCTTCTATCACTTTACCAAATGGTCAGTCTTAAAGAGAGACCACACCCACGAATTATGGAAAGATGAAGAAGTGTACTGGAGGAGTCACTAGGGTTAAATGGCTTCAGTTCAAACCCAAGCTCTTCCAGGAGCTGTGGGGCTGACAGATGCCCACTGCAGCTCACAGCCTTGCTCACAGGATTAAACCAAACCAGTGTTAGACTATCACGTCACATCGAGTAAGATGTCAATGCACACTAACTGTTCTAATCATAACTATAATTATCGAAGATGCTTTCAGAACGAGCATCACGCTCATACACTGGAAATACAGTAACGGATAATTGGCCTGTATCATCAGCAGCTGGCGGAGCACTGATGTTGACACCCAGACTGCAGCCTCAAGCATGACAACGAGAGCCCAGGAATGTAGTACCTGTCATTCCCACAGGCTCACACAGGTATAGTACATGCACAACAGGGCAGAGAATGGAGAACAGTGTTCACAGACTGAGGAGTATGTAGGCACTGTGCCAGCGTACCCTCAACACTACCCTACTGACGTCCGTCAGTCTGGGTAGATGCATCTGTCTGTTTCTGTGTGTGTTAAAGAGCTGGGCTGAGGCTACATAGGTGGGAGGAGTGAGTGGAACGGAGATGGGACTGAGGCTTCTGGACCAACACTTGGCGCTTAAGTTCTGTAATCAAGCGCCTTCCTTGGTGGATGCTATAATCATCCTTACTGATAGTAGACACACGATAGTCTCTCGGTAGAAACCCTTTTAGGCTCTCAGTCACGTAAAGCTGACCTTCCTTCGAAGGTGAAAGCTCTGGCGGCAGTGATTGCTAAGCAACAGTCACATGACCCACAGAAGGTAAAGGAAGGCAGGTCTTAGTTGCTGAAATTACTGGAAGAGAGGCATTCACCCTCGACTGGGGAATGCTGAATTGTTGTGAGATGAGCTTGGAGCTGCCTGTACTGCAGCTGTGGAAACGCCGACTGGAGAAGGAAGCGGGCAGAGGAAAGGGTGAAAGGAGAGAAATCGGAGAACTTGGATTGAACCAGCCTTAAAGGCAAACCGAATGGCACTTCTGACAATTATCTGAGCTAACAGATAACCTTTTACACTAACTTCAGTTTAACCCTGGCTGTGTGCCCTTCCTTTCTCCCTCTTTCCGTAAGCCAGCCTCTGCCTTGCCTATGGAAACAGTCCTAGGCATCCCTGTAGCCTGAGATAGCCCCATCACTCAAAACCCTTGCTAGGACATTAGCATGCTGCCCATTCAGGTTTGCAGAATTTCCGGTCCAAAGCAAGACTTTCTTGTGTTTGTTCATTCTTAAAACAAACAAACCCAAATTCACCCTGTCCCCTGACCCCAACAGTCTCTACATCCTCTGTCTGTGCCCAGTCCTTAAATAGGTGCACACCCAAAACAGGACCTAAGGAGACAGAAAGACAATGGAAAACTTACAGAATGGGAAAATTAAAGCAGGAAGCAATCTAACGCAATGATACCTGAACAACAGCCCCAGCCCCAGCAGCTTAGCTTAGGCCCTCATTTGGAGGGAGGGAGCTACCTAGGCAGTCCCTCTGAACTAACTCTGAAGCAGTTTTGACATACCATAGAACAGCAATACAGCTAACTAATCTGTAGGAACTCAGTTTTTAACCTGCACAATCCCAATACTGTCATGGGCCTGCCGTCTCTCCTTCCTTCTCTCCCTGTCCCCCCCACCCCCACCCCCTGGCTTTTTTCTAGCATCTACAGGCTGCCCACACCATTTCTGGAGACTCTATCTCTCCCCTCCGTCATCAAAGCGCAGTCTTTAAAAATGGAAGAGGGGGGTTGAAAGAGGCAGAGCAGCTTTGAAAATGGAGTCTCCAACAATGAGTACGGGCAGCTTCTAGATCCTGGAAAACGGCAAGAAATAGACCCCCCCCCAAAAAAAAAACCCTCTGAGGTAGAATGCAGGTTGCCAACACCTTGACCACAGCCCAGCAAGAGGGACTTAGGTTGAACCTGGAAGCTACAGGCTGGCAAGGGAAGGATTTTGCAATGTAAATAAAGATGAGACATCTGAGGTCGCAGGTGGCCACTCCAACCAGAACATCAACCCAGAGGATCAGTGGTTAGGGTGGAATTAGGATCTGAGAGAAGACAACAGAGCCGGCTCTTGGAATCCAGGGCACGTGGGGATTTGAACTGGTGAAATGAGGAGGGGCCTCTTTGCTCTCCTTCTCGGGTCCTGGGAACATACGCCTGCTATGCAATGTTCAGTCACCTGTGTCCAGCTTTCGGTTTGCTTCTACTACGGCAGGACATCTAGACATTTATGTTCAAGTCTACCCTTATCCTCCAATCTTTCAGGAAAAAAGCCAAGTCCTTTCGCCTGGTATGAAGTACAGCTGCGTGCCAAGTGACCCAAACAAGCATCTTCATTTGCTTAAATTCCAGGAAATGTCTGATATTTAGACTCAGACCAGATTCCCCGGCATTAAGGTTTCCACTCAAATTCAATATACCTGGTTAGGTACTTAGTCAAGATGAATTTATATTTATCAACTTATACTTCCTGAGCTCTGCATAGGAAGAGAAAAGAGGAGTAGATAAACTGAGCATCTAGAGGGACATCTTAAATGTCAGCCATTTTAAGGTTCCCGCACCCCGGGAGGTATTATTCATGACACAGCTGCCTAGTGACTGTACATAGCAAGGTCTTTAGTGATTGGAATCGTGGAGTCTGTACATTGTGGAGGACTAGTCAAAGCTTATAGTCTTTCTCGTTTATAGTTAGGGCACTCTGAATGTATGTTAAGCCAACTGCAACCCTCTAGAGGACTTGGCGGCTGACCTAACTAATTCTTTTCATCACCTAAAGGTGTACTGCTATAGAACTAAAACACTCGCTCTCAACTATCTAAGACCTTTTTGACCACCTTGGTAGCAGGCCCACTGGGATTCTACCAGCCTGCTCCCTGTAGAACTGGAGCTCTGTTTATCCCCATCACTAGCCTTCGTGCGCTCTAGGCTGAGACAGGACCTGTCCCTCTGGCACGGATCACTTGTCGGGCTACAGCAGGCTCTGTGGGATGCTGAGGGTGTGATACAGTCCTCACAGGTTTTCTCTCCAACCTGAACCTGAAGCCTGGAGTCACAAAACTCAGTGTCCTGGGGGGGGGGGGGGGGGGCAGGCAGGGAAAGTACGTAAGCGTAAGCGCATGGAGCCTAGTCTCACAAATGCACAACACTCCAGGACTGCCTCTTTCCACGAGTGAAAAGGTATTACGGTATTACGTATGAAGGAATAGTGCTCCTTGCGAGAGGAAATATCACAGGAAGTAAGAGAATACCAGACAACCAATGCCGAGCTTTCACGGTGGAGAGGCTACAGGGAGTGGTGGGGACAGAACAAAAGCAATCGCCATGGCAACGTCTGGGAATAGGAGCCTGTGGTGGTCAGGTACAATTGTTCTAGATAAAACTACATTTAACCATTTTAAGTAGGAGCAAAGGAAGCAAATAAATTTAATTACTTCATGTATTTTTAAAATTCACACACACAAAATAAAATCGTACATTATACATGGTGTATGTTTAAGAAAAGGGAGGCTAAACCTCATTGAGTCTCTACAGAAAAGGGGTTGAACTGCGTAATGTCTGAGGCAAGGAACAATGCATTCACACGCACTGTGAAGCCAACAGGACACAGGATCCTGCTAGCAGCGGTAGATATCCTCAATGTCCAAAGGTCAAAGTCTCCTAAGGAATGGCAGCTCCCATCACTGCGGGCTTTCTATTCATCTGCTCTGGGGCCTCACGACAGCTCTCAGACCTGTCTATTCTTAGCACCCTAAGTGGTGAAATGGGAGGTACTACCTGTCATGAGACACACTAGCAAGTTCCCACCCTTATTCCTGAGGTTGACCTAGGGCATAGGGCTCTGGTCTACTCAAACTCCCCCAGCCAGCGCCACGGAATCTGTGCCATGGATACAACAGACTCCACCTCCAAGGGCCACAGTGTATTCTGATGAGGAAAAGAAAGCAAATGACTCACCAGACTTCCCAGCACCGCTCTCTCCCTCACACCCAACAACAGGCTGGGAATATTTTTCCACATCAGTCACCAAGTGGATGACTGACCGCTAATGGATCAAGTCAGGAACTCCTCAGTGAGCTGACCTGGCAATTTCCTCCTAAGTGCTCACTGGCCGCTTCTAAGCACGAGGGCAAGCCATAATGCCACCATCTCCGAGTCAACCTCAACTCCCTCAAGAGATGGGCAGGGTACCTCTGCCACTGCGCTGACAACTCACAAAGATTCATCTTCATCCCAGGAGGTAACAGTAGAAAGCTCTGCACAGGCCTGTGGGGCAGAGCCAACACCCACCTATAGGCTTCTTTATCAGCCAGGGCTGGGGAGGACTCAACCGGGATATGGGAATAGAGGTTGGAGATGGTGCCAAACACAGAGACACTGACTGGGACATGCTGAAGAAAAAAGAGGCCTTCTAGGGAAAGGAATGGCTGTGGAACAAGGGCCACTTCCTGGGTTGTAGACACAGCTCTCCAGGCAGTAGAAGACAATAGCCCTGAGAGGAACACTTCCTCAGGCCTGGGGGGGGAGGTTATCTCTGTCTCCAGGAGGCACGGGATCTTTATTTAGTTCTTAGAGTACAGAGATAAGAGGAAAATAGCCTCTTCCGGAAGAATGGGGGAGGAAAAGGAGAACTGTCCTTTGTAAGCTTGGGCTAACTGGGCAGAGCACGGACTTCCCACCTCTGTTCTGCTCTCCAAGCTTTTAAACCCTCAGAGGAAGGTCTGGCCAGTGGGAGATGCAGGAAGTGAGAGAGATCTCATTTCCTCCCAAGGACAGCCAGGCCTGGGTGGACATCCTGCTCCCCCTCCTGCCATCCTGCAAGCCGCGGTCCAAAGCCGAGGAGCCCTGAGGCTTTCAGGGGCTTTTATTGTATTAGAAGCATTTTTCTCATCATAACTGAGACCTTTAGTATTGCATTAAAAAGATGGTTAATTTTCTTAAGCTTCCTTTTAAACACAGAAATAGGATTAGAAGGATAACATGCTCAGATGCAAGCCCATTATTTGATTATGTCTAAACCTAATCCTGCCTTCACCTTGGCCTGCAGAGTCTCCATTTTGGGGTTTATCGGCTGATAATGCCAGGGCTGTCAGATGCTATTACTCGGTTACTATCTGTTGCTACGTGATCCTTCCACTATCAAATGCTGAAGGTTTGAAATTGAATTAAGGGTGAGTGGGGGGAGTATTGCCGTCTTTGGACCCTTAAGCATATCTTCATAGAGGAAGGAATAGTCCAGATGTCCAAAGACCAGGCCTTTCCTGTAGTAAACTATTTCCAATACTGCTTCTGAGAAAAATCTTAGAGATCACTCTTTCTCCTATGAATCAACCTTTTTTTCCCTTCACTATGAAAGATGAGGAAAGGTGGTATGGATGATAATAAAAAGATCAAAGGGCAACCACGATGAGACATTGTATTCCCTCTTCCAGTACACTGTAATTCTCTCTCCCATCACCTCTGTGTGAGCCAGTGTTGAGGTCTTCTTTGTACCCAGTGACCAGCACTAGTTCAGGGCCAATTCAGAGTAAATATTGTGAATTTTTACCAAATCGAGAACCTGAATTTAGACCACGTACGAGCATGCTGCATCTCACTTTTTTTTTTTTTAAGATTTATTTATTTACAATGTATACAACATTCTGCCTCGATGTATGCCCGCACGCCAGAGGAGGGCGCCAGATCTCAGTACAGATGGTTGTGAGCCACCATGTGGTTGCTGGGAATTGAACTCAGGACCTCTGGAAGAGCAGCCAGTGCTCTTAACCTCTGAGCCATCTCTCCAGCCCTGCATCTCACTTTTTTAAGCAGTAGAGAAGTAGAAGGCATTGCTAGGGCTGTGGAGCTGGGTGTGAAACAGGCCTGTGACCAGTCCCACATCATATGTGTGGACCACCCTCCAACCTACTGCACGATCTTCCTCCTCAGTCCAGCAGCTTCTGAGTGGCCTTACCTGTCGCAGTGGTTGCACTTAAAGGGCTTTGCACCTGTGTGTTTCCTGTAGTGCCTTGTGAGCTCATCGCTCCGTGCAAAACGCCACTCACATCCTTCCCATGAGCACTTGTAAGGCTTCTCACCTGCAGAAGACACAGAAGGACCATGGTCAGCAAGGAAGGACTTCACGCCTGTTCAGATTCTGCTACCTGGTAGTCAGTATCAGAAAATGGCCTCTTAGATAATTGTAGGTAGACTATGTTCCCTAATATAGAAAGCTACTTTATATATATATAAGCCTCCTGGTGTTGTTTTCTTTTGTTTCCTTCTTTTTTTAACCTTCAAAAGTGGCTTTACATGATCTTCGGTTCTGGGGCTGTCATTTCAGCTCCCAGAGTCAGGGCATTTCCTTCAACTGGTGAGGAATCAATTTTTATTTATGTTCTATTCCCCGGAGCACTCTGAGCCTCATGGTCCAAGCAGAAAGGAAATGTGCTATTTTCATCGGAACCACAAATGCTTCTAATTCTATTTTTCTCAAGAACCTGCAGTAAATTACCATTTCAGTCCTTTTTGTCTCTCCCTTCCCTGCCTCTTCCCCCGCAACCCATAGCCAGGTAGTTAAGTGATGAGAGACACCCCTCAGGCTCCCAGAACAGTGTTCCTTCCAGTAAATGTGACTGGATGGACAGACAGCAGGATCTCATCTGAGAGAAAGACAAAACTCACTTCCCAGTTCCTGGCATTCATGGGGAAAGCTCCCAGAGTTCCTAGCTGGGAGGTTCCCGTAACTCAGTGGCTCTCTTTAGAGTGTTCGCACTGGATAGCATATACATCATCACAAAATATTGCAGAAGCCGATTGGTAGAGCAAGCTTTAGCCACAGAGAAGCTGCTGAGGAACACGAAATCCGAGCACTGCGCCCAAGCGACCTTTTCACAGAGTAAATACAGATGGGGGAATATGTAAGAAAACGTGCATGACTTTGCCTGGGGCCTTTTTTTTTTTTAAACCCATCACATCTGTCATCAAATAGGACAAATATTTATCCTTCTAACTATATAGTGAGCTGGTCCTCATTAAGTAGAAAAACGTTTAAAACCCCAAATGAAAGCATGACATGGAGGCCCTGCCACCGAAAGGCAGGTGAGCACAGTGGTTTGGGACTCAAAGTCAATCTTCCTGGGGTCCCGTCTTTGACCACAGGCAAGGGTGATGATTAATCTTGGGTGGTTGTCTAACCTTGGGCAAGTTAGGCATGCTTTCTCAGAGATAACAATAGTGTGTACCCCTGAAAGGTTTGCAAAAATTAACAATATAGCTTACATATTATGAATTAATTAGAAACAGGAGAGGCACATGGGAGACTCATATTATTGCTAAATATTATAAAATATACAATCTGAGGGCCAGGGAGATGGCTCACTAAAGTGCTTGATGCGTAAGCTCGGGCACACCAATAAGCATCCTGACACCCATGTGAAACAGCTGTGTACAGCTGTGCACCCCTGCAACCCCAGCACCAGAGTGAGACAAGCTGATCCTTGGCATTCTTGACCAGCCAGTCAGCTCAGCCATGCCGGGGAGCCCCAGGTTCAATGAGAGATCATCTCAAAAACCAAAGTGGAGCATGACGGAAGAGGACTCCTGATGCTGACCTCTGGCCTCTGTGTTCATGAGCACACATCTGCATGCACACACAGACACAGCTACAAGAGCACACACATCACACACACACACACACACACACACACACACACACACACACACACATTTCGGGCCACAGAGGCTACCCCTTCCAAAGTACGATGGATACAACCATCTTCCAGCGTTTTCAACAGCTACGTCTCCCAGCACGCATTTAAGAAAACATTACCAGTTACAGTACCACTTTCCCTTTAAACTTGACTAAAAAGTGCTCACAGTTCTCCATTTTTATCACTCTGAATCAAATCAAGCATGCTTTAAATTCTCCACCCCTCCCCCGTTGGTTTTTTCATGACCTGGTTTCTCTGTGTAGTCCTCCCTGTCCTAGACCTCTTTCTGTAGACCAGGCTGGCCTTGAACTCACAGAGATCTGCCTGCCTCTGCCTCCCCAGTGCTGGTATTAAAGGTGTGAGGCTCCACTGCCCACTCATGCTTGAAATTCTTACTTCATTAAATTGTTGCTTAAGTAAGCCCACTGCTTTGCAAGACACAGTGCAGAAGAGAAGAGAGACATAAATTTCTCCCAAAGGGAACCAAGAGTAGAAGGAATGGAAGGAGCCTAGGAGAAAGGATTCATTTACGGAAGTGTGTGTGTGTGGAGCAAGCAATATTGGATTTACCTTACTGATAGCTCCTGATGTGACAAGGACATACTTGCTGCAGAGAAGCGTGAAGATTTCCCCTCAGCTTGTGAGTCAGCACACCTGTGACATGGCTGAATTCATTACTCAGTGCCTCTATCCATGTTCAATGGGAGTCAGTGGACTTATTAGTAAATCTGTTTTAAAATAAGCTACGGTACGTACAACAGATTTCGTGGGCCAGGTACCTCGTGAATAGCCAATGAACGTCAATTCTTCCCCTAGTTCCTGTGTTTGCAGGAACTGTTTGGGAGGAAGGCCTAATCAGATGCCAATTTAAAAAGCACTGGGAGCTCATGACTCCAGACAGCCAAGGCTGGAGCCAATATGGTCAGCTTCAATGCTGAGAAACAAGGAGACAGTTCAAGTTATGGTAGCTATTCAGTATGTGGATGGAGAGAAGACCAAAGTGCTCTTCAGGTACATTCAGAATGAGAGGGATGCCCTAGGGAAGCAAGCTACCCCACAGTGCCCTGTTTGAAAGACCAGTGGGCATCAACTACTTAATGCCATGGATCACACAAAAATACATATGTAAATATGAACAAAGCACCTAAGTGCTCAAAAATTCAAAATGCCTTCCAGTCCCAAAGACCTTCAAATAACAACAACAACAACAACAACAACAATAATAATAAATCTAAAGACAGGAGTTTCCTAGTTCCAGGAACCAAGCATGGTCAAATGACAACAAGGAACTGAGGAAATACGATGAATCCCACAGCCACAGCCAACATCCACTGCTCCAGATCAATGTCACCCTGGAATTGGCTGGTCCAGCAGTGCTAACCACGTAGGGAAGAATCCAGAAAAGACAGAGAAGAAAGGGAACAGAAGCAGGGGCACTTAGGGTTTTTGTTTTTCTCATTTCAAAGTGTTTGGTTTTCTTTTGCTGAATCCTTCAACTGTTTTGTTTCTTAAATTAAGTTTCAGTTATTTTTCCCCAAATGTTGCATCT